GAGATTTTAAAACCTGCAGGACCCAGAAGACCTGAGCTTGAAGAGGAATTCAAAAACGAAGAAGTGTCTCAAGCTTGTGGTGTTACTGAAAAAAAGAAAAATCCCGAAGTTATGCTCCTCTAGGAGGAAGTGAGGAACTGCAGAGTTAAGATCTGGTTTTGTCCTGCTGTGGATCGTGAGCATCTCCTCGCACCAATGGGCCTAGCCACGTGAGGCCTGCTCGCCAGAGTGGCATGAAGACAATTTACCATTTTATTGCTACTGTGTATTTGACTTTCTGATGGACACAGCGGTGTAGTGGGAAAAGCCTGGAAACCCCAGTCAGGACCTGAGACCCGTGAACCCTGTCTCCCTCCTCCCACCCCTGTGAGTCTGGCAAAGGTCCTCACCTTCTCTCTGCCCTCAGGTTCTTCCAGGAGGGCGGGCAGGGGCCAAACAAGGGGCCCCAGTGAACCCAGCTGGATCTGAAATACTGTGACTTCAAATGAAAAAGAAAAAAAAAAAGGAACAAGGGGTCAGTTGTGTTGATGATGATGATGATGGTGATTAATGTTGATTTAGTCAGGCTCATTCAATCCCAGCAAAAGGTGGGGGTTCAGGATCTGGGTCAAAATTACGGCCAGTATGGGTGTGTAGGTGGAGTGTGTGTGTGTGTGTGTGTGTGTGTGTGTGTGTGTGTGTGAAGTCACCTCCCTCCCAGGGTTCCAGAAGGAAGCAGCCAAGTCAGTTCCAGAGGGCTGGCTGTCTGAGAGGTGCTGGGAAGGATCAGTTCATGATCTCATTCAATCTTACTACCTTAAGTGGAAGACATCTGAAGAGATGGGGAAACTGGAGTTCAGAGAAGGCAAGTGAACTGACTAGGTCATTTGGCAGCGGAGCCTGGCCTTTGGTTTAATCGATGGTGTCAAAAAATAAACTCAGGACACTGTTAACAGATCACTATGCAGGTTTTGGAGCCCTCGTGGTGCAGTGGTTAAGCACTCAGCTGCTAACAGAAAGGTTGGCGGTTCAAACCCACCAGTTGCTTCTCTGGAGAAAGATGTGGCAGTCTACTCCCTTGAAGATTACAGCCTTGGAAACCCTATGGGGTTTGGACTTTATCCAGGTTTAATAGACAAATATGCAACTGGGCAACACATCGTTCACCCAGTAAACGAGTGCTCCGCTTAATAGGGATTCTTAAAGTGTCTTCTGTACAAAGATATCAGAAACTTTTGAACAAAATTTCAAATTGGTTGACATTTATGTAACTTTGCTAAACAGGTACAGACAATCACGAGATTAGTAAGTCTTGATTACAAGACTCCTAAAGTTTTGAAAACAGAATATTTTTATCAATCTTGAAAACAGGATATATTCATTAGTTTTGAAAACAAGATGTTTATTAATTGTAATTGTCTGAGTTTTAAGCAGAAATCTTAGTGGTGTAGTGGTTAAGAGCTATGGCTGCTAACCAAAAGGTTGGCAGTTCAAATCTACCAGCTGCTCCTTGGAAACCCTATGGGGCAGTTCTACCCTGTCCTATAGGGTCACTATGAGTCAGAATCGACTCGACAGCAACGGGTTTGGAGTTTTAAGCAACAGTTAATGAGTAATGAAACCAGCCTTCCTGGTTTCAGTGGGCCTAGTTACCTAGCTACTTTTAAAGATTAGTCTATAGCATAGCAAAAATATTATTTATTTGCTAGAGTGCATAGATGTTTGATAATATTTAACAAGATGACCTTTACTGTCATGAGTAAGAGAATTCTTTATGTTTTCATAATGCAAAACATACCATTTTTGACAATGGGAACCTTGGCCAAGACAGTCAACCTAACGACAGCTCTGGTTCTATGAAAAACAGGGATTCACTTTACATGAATTAACTTAATGAGACATTCTGGAGGGCTTGTCGGCTATAATCTGAGGCTGCCCGCATGCCCCCTCTAAATCTCATGCCCTGCCCCAACTTCCGCCCCACCCCACCCCGCACCTGGGTACCTTTGGGGGATGGGCAGCTAGGAGGAGGCAAGGATGTGCGTGATGCCAGAAATACTGTAATTCCAGGCATGACCGCCAGGTGGCAGAGCAGCTGCACCAGGCTCTGCCCAGAGCAGTCCCAGAAAAACAGAAAATTACAGAATAAAAATTCATTGGCCTGAAAGCAGAAAGTCAGTTGGAGATTCCGAGAGCCTTCTGGCAAATCCGGGAGGTTTGACCTTCTGCTGTGAGCAAAGCTTAAGGGGATCCATGACAGGCAAAGGGCAGGAAAGAAGAGAAAAATTTCAAAAGCATATGGAGGAAGGAGAAAGATAAATGGATTCCCTCTCACGCCTTGCCTTTCAGCAGCCACCGGTAGCCCAGTAACTCTCAGTGCAGCGGCATCACCCTGGGTGCTTTTAAAATGCACATTCCTGGGCACAGCACAGCCCAAAGGCGGGGCCTGGGAAACTGCATTTTGGCCAGCACATCTGTGGTTTCTGCTACACGTGTAGGTTTGAAAACACCAACAGGATGGCTACAGCCTCATTTCACAGACCTGAAACCAGGGTCTCAGAGAGGGGAGGTCAGTGATCAAGGTCAGGGACCTGGAGCCAGTCCCCCTCTCAGTTCAGGAGTCCCCTTGAGGCACCAACACAGGAATTAAGCGAGGCTCTTCCCAGGTGAAACCCAGCCTCTGGACTGCGCCCGATTCGTCCCCTCCCGAGGTTCCCTTTCTTTGGTTGGAGTCGTTCTCTCTCCCACCTCTGTTTGCCGTTTTAAAATTCATGATGAGTTCCTGCCCAGGGAGGCAGAGTGAGGAAGGCACCCTGGCTTTGAAATCCAGACCCAGAATCCCGACTACGGCTTTCCAGCTGGGTGCCCTCTGCAGAGTTCTGGAAGCTGCGGTCCAGAGGCCCACCACACAGCTCACCCCCGCACAAGACCCCCCCACCCCCAGCACCTCTCAGATGGCCTCCGGAACTGACTCAGCAGCTTCCCACTCTCACCCTAGGAGGGAGGTGACTTCACCCCCAACTCACCCACCCCCGCTGGCCCGAATTCTGACTGGAATCTTGAACTCCAGCCTTTTGCTGGGATTCGGTCCAGGAGGTGAGCGTCCTGGCAGTGGGCTGAGACAGGCTGGAGACCCCAGGGCAGCTGCCCAGGGGCACTGGGGAGAGCTCAGGCTTGGTTGCCTGGTGAGGATCCCAACTCTGCTGTGTGACCTTGGATATGCTGCCTGCCCTCTCTGAGCTTCAGGTTCCTCGTCTGGGAGAATTAGTAGCACCTCTCTCCTGCGCTGCTCTGAGGACAGCAGGAGAGGATGCAGACAGCGTGGCTGGGTCAGCTATCTGGCAGCACAGCCCGGGTGGGGCGGTGGGGTGGGAGCTGGCTGCCCCCCTTCCTCACACTGAGCTCAGCACCACGCTGGGTAAGGGAAGTGTGACTTTTCTCACTTCCTCAACCCACTCTGCTCAGCCCTGGGGCTCATGAGGGGTTTCTAAGAGATGCCAGGATATCGTATCCACTGCTCCTACCCGGGGGAAGCTTACAGTCTAATAAAGGCAACCTGGAACCTCAAAATAGAAGCTTCCTAAAATGGTGCGTCTACAAGCTGGTCTCCCTACGCTGCCTGGTAGGAGGTGAGCATGGCGGAGGTGGGGAGAGCGCAGAAGGAGTCCAGACCGGGCCTCCTCCCTGCTCTGACTCCCCACACCAACTCCCTTCCTCCCGAAGCCTCAGGGCATGGACCCCCTCTAGGGAACGCCCTCCCCAGTTCTCACAGCTGAGCTTCGGTGAGATGGACAAAAATTGTCCAGAATGGGTTAAGGTTATTAGTTGGCGTCCAATCGATTCCGACTCACGGTGACCTCACGTGTTGCAGGGTAGAACTGCGCTTTTCAGGGTTTTCATTCCCGGGTGGCAAAAATGGTTAGCACTCGACTACCAGCTGAAAAAGGAGTCCTGGTGGTGAAATGGTTAAGCACTCGGCTGCTAACCAAAAGGTCGGTAGTTTGAACCCACCAGCTGCTCCTCTGCGAGAGAAAAGACCTGACGATCTACTCTCAGAAAGATTACAGCCTAGAAAACTCCATGAGGCAGTTCTACCCTGTTCTACAGGGTTGCACACAGCAACACTAGCTGAAGGATTGGCAGTTCTAATCTACCCAACAGTTTCTTGGAAGAAAGGCCCGGCAATCTCTTTCTGTAAAGATTATCTCCAAGAAAACCCTATAGAGCAGTTCTACTCTGTAACACATGGGTTCGCCATAAGTTGAATGGACTCAGTGGTAATGGGTTTGCTTTTTGACTTCTGGAAGAAGATCACCAGGCCTTTCTTCCAAGGCACCTCTAGGTGGGTTCAAACCACCAACCTTGTGGTGAGTAGCCCAGTACTTAACTATTTGCACCACCGAGAGATCCTATGGGTTAAGGTAAGACCAATGGTTTCTTGACTTAAAAGAATGAGATCACTGGCCAGCGGAGAGTTACCTGAGGTCTTGAGTCCTGGAACTCTGCTTGCCCGTCACACCCACACCCAGGGGCCCACGCTCAGATTAAACTTTAACGGAGCCAGCGGCCAAATTGCTATTCTTCCACAACTGTAATTCAGTAACATGACAACATGTGTCTTATTAAAAAAAGTCTGCTTAATCTTTCACCCTGGGTGCTGGAGAACCTAGAGAGAGCTCAGCCCTCCCACCGCAGGCCCTAGGTCTTGTGTCACCAGGAGCTCAGACAGCCCAGGCACAGGGGCCTGTGACCTTTGTTTCCTGGACTCCACCCCCACCCCCACCCCCAGAGCATTGGGACATAGCTATAGGAGGAATTTTCTCCAAGCACCTCAGGCCGTCTGAGGACTGACCCCACCGGTTACTGGACAGCTGATCCCACCTCTGTGCCGGCAGGCAAGCGAGGGTGGAGGTCTTGGCGGCCCAGTATCCTGCTCAGGCAGGCGGCCCCAAGCAGCAGGCCAGGCACTTACCTGCTCGCCGTCTCCCAGGGCCCTGCCTGTGGGTCCAGCAGCCCTGTCCATGGCATTCGCTGAGCTCCTGGAGCGAACAGGGGGCATGGGCCTCTTCCAGGCTCTGCAGATCTTGACCTTCTTCCTCCCCTCCGTCTTGCTGCCCCCCCAGCTGCTTCTGGAGAACTTCTCAGCTGCCAACCCTGGCCACCGCTGCTGGACCCCCATGCTGGACAACAGCTCTGAGGTGCCAGCAAACCTCTCCCTTGAGGCGCTGCTGACCATCTCCATCCCGACTGACCCCCAGCACGGGCCTAGCCAGTGTCACCGCTTCCGCCACCCGCAGTGGCAGCTCCTGGAACCCAATGCCACGGCCACCAACTGGAGCAAGGCCACCACGGAGCCGTGCATGGATGGCTGGGTCTACGACCACAGCACCTTCACCTCCACCATCATCACCAAGGTAAGGGCCCTCCCTCCCCCAGAGTGCACAAGTCACTTCCTTCCTTCTCGGAATGATAGCCCATGACTGGCAGGAGTCGTATCGTCTGTATGACCCCTAATAAATGGTGTGACACCCTCAATACACACTTACTGCACGCTCTTGATGCTCCAGATCTGACCTGGGGCTGAGGTTACGAGAGCTGAACCGGGAGCCTTTAAAGAGCTTACATTCTAATGGTGGATTCGGGCTCAGTCAACTTTAAACCAGTAACAAGAGCAGAGGGAACCCTCACCTCGTGACTTCTAAGTGCCAGGCACTGTTCCAGATACTTTTCCTGTAGTCACAATCTCTCCACAGTCTTATGAAGTGGGTAATATTATTATCCCTGAAAGCACAGAGAGGTTAAGTAACTTCCCCCAGGACACACAGCTAAAATGTAGTGGAACCGGATTGAATCCACGTACTCAGCTTGTGGCAGCTAAGCTCCTCATCACTCAGTGGTCTGGCCTCAAGGTGCAGGATCATAAATGAGTGGGAAGGAAAGAGAGCAGTGTTCCTCAGGGTCTGGCTGATGAAGGAAGGTGGCAGGCACATGAAGATGGGGGAGATTGCCCAGCCAAGACAAAGGGGCTCAGTAGGAGCGTGTCTGGGGCACAGGTGGTGAGGGCCCGTGGCTGAGATGGCGGGGAGGGAAGGAGGACCAAATTGTGGTCAGGAGCCTGGGGTTTCTCTTTTTCTTTCTTTATTTTTATTACTATTATTATTTTATTGAACTTTAGATGAGGATTTACGTCAACACTCTCCCTTCTCGACCTTGGGTTCTCTATTATCAGCTTTCCTGTCCCCTCCTGCCTTCTCGTCCTTGTCCCTGGGCTGTTGTGCCCCATTAGTCTCATTTTGTTTTATGGGGCTGTCTAATCTTTGGCTGAACGGTGAACCACGGGAATGACTTCATTACTGACCTAAGAGGGTGTCCGGGGGCCATACTCTCAGGGTTTCTCCAGTCTCTGTCAAGTCAGTAAATCTGATCTTTTTTTTTGTGAGTTAGATTTTGTTCTACATTTTTCTCCAGCTCTGTCCCGGACCCTCCGTTGTGATCCCTGTCAGAGCAGTCAGTGGTGGTAGCCGGGCACCATCTAGCTGTACTGGACTCAGTCTGGTGGAGGCCGTGGGAGCTGTGGTCCGTTAGTCCTTTGGACTAATCTTTCCCTTGTCTCTTGTTCTCTTCACTCTCCCTTGCTCCCGAAGGGGTGAGACCAGTGGAGTATCTTAGGTGGCTGCTCACAGGCTTTTAAGACCCCAGACGCTACTCACCAAGGTAGAATGTAGAACATTTTCTTTATAAACTGTTATGCCAATTAAGCTACATGTTCCCTGAGACCATGGTCCTGGGGTTTGTCTTAAGTGCAAAGGAAAGTCCTTGGAGGGTTTGGGACAGGGAAGGGATGTGATTGATTTGCATTTTCAAGGGGTCCCTTAGCTGGGTGGAGAATGCTCTGTAGGGGCAAGAGGGGACTCAAGGCTACTGCAGTGGCACTGCGAGAGAGAGGGTGGCCGGAGAAGGTGACAGTGGCGGGAACACAGCACCAAGCTGTCAGGTGTCAAAGGACTGACTTGGGGGACAGGGCGTTCAGACACTGGCCAGATGCCCTGGAAAACTCATGGGTGAAACATGCTGAGCCCTCCCTATTCACCTGACAGCCCTGTGAGAGAAGCAGCCTTATTGTTTCCATTTTCTGGATGAGAAAACTGAGGCTCAGCAAGGGGCAATGACTTAGCAAAGTTCACCCAGCTAGTAATCAATGGAGTTAAAATTCAAACTTTGTGGTTTAACCACTGCCCCTCACTGCCCTCCACCGCCCCCCACTGCACACCATTGACCACCACCACTGCCTGCCGCTCCCCACCGCTGCCAGCTACTGTCCTCCACTGTCTGCCACCGCCCTTCATTACCCGCCACTACCCCTCGCTGCCCGCCAAACTTCTTTTAACAAGAGCTTGTTTGTTTCCCCAACATTTCTACTCCTCCGATGCCCTCTGTGTGTCTGCACAGCCAGACCCCACTTGGCAAGGCCATCGCGCTCGCTGTCAGATGCAAGGCTGTGCCGTGTTTCTGGAGCAGCTGGGCTTCAAATCGAGGCCCTGCTGCCAGCAGACCCCCTTCCACCTCTGTGGCCTGGTGCTAGGAACCAGGGATCTCGTTGTCAGTGTCTGGACCCCCAGAACTCAGGTTGACCAGGTGTTCCTGGCCAGAATCTCCTACCTCTGCCACCCTGCCCACTCTCCCACCTCCTGAGCTTTGGGGCTCTCCTCTCTTCCAGTGGGACCTGGTGTGCCACTCCCAGCACCTGAAGCCTATGAGCCAGTCCATCTACATGACCGGGATTCTGCTGGGATCCACCACGTGGGGCCTCCTGTCCGACCGGTGAGTGTCCCCTCCCCGCCTGCCCTGCATTGTGGACACAGGTGCTGACAGCTCAGGAGCACACGGGCCCTGGGAGTCAGAGCCTCCCTGAGTAGTGATAGGCCAGCGTCTGGCAGCTCCCAGGGACACAGCCGATGTGACTCACAAGAGCCCAGCGTCTGAGCCTTGATGCCCAATTCCCACTTAGTACCAGAAACAGTCCGGTCCCCGCCTCCTCTGTCCTCCACATTCTCACTGTCAGGATTTCACTGGTCTTTACTGAACGCCTACTGTATACCAGCAGAGCGCCAGCACTGCAGCAGGCAGACCTCCTCCTTCTTCTTTTTTTTTTATTTTATTTTTGGTGAAAATATACATAATAAAATATATACCCATTCAACAATGTCTACATGTACAGTTCAGTGACACTGGTTACATTCTTCCCATTGTGTCACCATTGTCGCTGTCTCTTCCCATATTGTTTTACCCCCATTAACTTAGACTTTCTGTCCCCTAAACTTCTCCTCTGTGTTTTCCAGTCGCTGTTGTCAATTTGATCTCATACAGATAATTCTCTAACAGAGCACACTACTCAAGGCAAACATTCTTTACTAGTTGAGCTAAACTGTTGTTTAATCTAAAGATGACTTCATGGGATAGTTGCAGTTCAGGGCAATAGATTTGGGGGTTCCCCCATCACAATGGGTCCAGTTAGTCTGGTTTTTATAAGAATTTTAAATTCTGTTGTACGGTTTTCCTCCCTTTGATTAGGATCCATCGACTGGGTCTTTGATCAACACATTCAGTAATGGTAGCTGGGCACCATCTAGTTCTTCCGGTCTCATGGCAATGGAGGTAGTAGTTCATGGAGGCAATTAGACCTGCAGTCCTTTTCCTTCTTCTTCCTGAGCTTCTTTCTTTCTCTGCTGCTCTAGGCAAAGAGAGGCCAATTATTGTACCTTGGATGGCTGCTTGCAAATTTGAAGATCCCAGGCTGTACTCATTGAACTAGGACAGACTTCCTCTTAAGGGCAAGTGCACTTGCCCTATGAAGGAAGAGCCTGGGCCACAGGATCACTGATCCACTCTCCTGGTTTTCCTCCCACTTCCACCTCCCTGCTGTTTCTTTTCAGCTTGGCTGCCTCCTCAACCTCCTTGTCCTCCTCATCCTTCTCCCCAGGACTCAGTCCAGAGCCTCCTTCTCTTCTCTATCTACACTCTCCTCCTTCTCAAGGCATCACTACCTAGTGCTGATAACACCTAAGTTACCACCCCCCTCCCCAGCTTGTAAATCCAAGGAGCCCTGGAGGCACAATGGTTAAGTGCTTGGCTGCTAACAGAAAGGATGGCAGTTGGAACCCACCCACTGGCTACTCAGGAGAAAAACCTGGTAATCTGCTCCTGTAAAGATTACCAAAGGCAGACTTGTTGCCGGTGGAGTCAATTCCGACTCATGGCAACCCTACAGGACAGAGTAGAACTGCCCCTGGTGTCACAGTGGTTAAGCGCTGCGCTGCTAACCTAAAGGTCGGCAATTCAAACCCACCAGCTGTTCCTCCGGAGAAAGATGTGGCAAGCTGCTTCCATAGATTACAGCCTTGGAAACTCTATGGGGGCAGTTCTACTCTGTCCTGTAGGGGCGCTATGAGTTGGAATGGACTCGTAATGACTCCCCCACCACCCCTAGATCCTCCCCCACCTCCCCTACCATCCCTACCCCCAGACTGTCCCCTGTCACCCAGGCCCTCCCCCACCACCGTCAGATCCTCCCCAACCCCTCCACCCCCAGACTCTCCCTTGCCACCCCAGGTCTTCCCTTGCCACCCCAGGTCTTCCCTTGCCACCCCAGGTCTTCCCTTGCCACCTTCCCCCACCACCCCAGTCCCTCCCCCAGCAGTCTCTCCATCCCAGAATATAGCTCCTCCCCAACCCCGTGGCAACAGCTGAACCCTCGGAGCTGCCCCTGGTTCTTCTCCTTCCCTCATCCCCCACATTCACACAGGCTCTTCCTCCAAAGTACACGCCCAGCCCAAGCCCCTGTCCCTCCACGCTGCCCCGTCCAAGCCGCCAGCCATTGTCTCCGCCTCCCAGATTCACAGATGGGGAAACTGCAGCCTGGGGAGGTGGAGTCACGTGCCCAAGGTCAACTAGGAAGGGCAGAACTGGGACTCAAATCCAGCTGTCTGACGCCAAAGCCCATGTTCGTGGCCACAGGGTTTTGCTGCCCCCCTGATTCCCTAACAAAAACATCCTAAGGTGCTCCTGGAAGCTCCAAGAAGGAGGCGCTGGCTGCACTGGGCTCCATCGGCACCACAGCTTTGGGGACCCCTCAGAAGGTGAGCACCTTACCTCGCCAGTGCCCCACCAGGCTTGTCTCCCACCACAGGTTTGGGCGCAAGCCGATGCTGATCTGGTGCTGCCTGCAGGTGGCCGTGACCAGCACCAGCACTATCTTTGCCCCGAGTTTCCTCATCTACTGTGGCCTCCGGTCCATGAGCGCGTTTGCACTGGGCGGCATCATCATGACCTCCTCAATGCTCAGTGAGTGTGTCCCTTGTCTGCTTCTGCCGTGAGGGGGTAGGGAACGGGGCCTCACCTGCATGTGCCTTTCAGTGGTGGAGTGGACCCCGACACCCAGGAGGGCTGTCGCCATGACGATACTGGGATGCTTCTACAGCTTGGGCCAGATGGCCCTGGGCGGACTTGCCTTTGCCCTGCGGGACTGGTGGACGCTCCAGCTGGCCGTGTCTGTACCCTTCTTTGCCATCTTCCTGGCTAACTGGTCGGTACAGAGCCTGGGGCCTTTTCCCTTGGGGCGGGCACCACAGAAAGGGAGGCGACAGGGTGGGAGGCTGCCCCCTCACTCCCACAGCCCTGGCTGGCCACGGGGCTGAGACGTTGAGAGTCACGAAGGGAGGTGGTGTGAGCAGTCCCTCGCTGGGAATTCAGAGTTCTGGGGTGGGCATGGCAGCTGGAGGTCTGTGGTGCTATCCAGCCAGGACCGGCCTTAATTGGTTCGCACAGTGATTTAAAAGAAATGTTTGTAACAACTTGCCAACATTTAAAAATGAGGAGGTTTTTTTTTTTTTTTAATCAACGAAAGAAAGAAAAATAGTATTTCTACCTTTTCTTGAGAACCTGGAAGATCCAGTGACACTGGGCTGAACTTGGGCTGGAGTTGAATGGCAGCTGCACCCTTTGCCCCCAGCCCCCACCCTCCATGTCCTCTGGGCCTCCCCACACTTGCCCCACCCCCACCAGCCTGCTCATCCACAGCTCTCCACACCCACCCCCCGCCACCACCCGTGGTCATCAGTCAATGACCAGCAGCCTAGGATATGCAAATCCATCATTATCATGATTATTTTTGGTGCTCCCCAAATCCCTGAGGTCTGGAAATACTTGCTTAGGTGGGGACTGGAGGAAGAGATACAAGGAAGCAAACACAAATGAATGTCCCCATAAGTGACCTTGTGCCCGTCTGCCACAGCAGAGTTGGCCTGGGCCAGAGGAGTCCTCTGTCGGGCAGACGGGATAACAAGGACTCATTCATTCCCAAATATTCACTGAGCTCAGGCCCCTGCCAGATGATCGGAGGTAAATCCATAAGCAAAACAGACAAGAAGGCCCCGCCCACATGGAGCTATGTTAACAGGATCAGCAGGTGCGGAGGGAGACATCCCATCATTACACTTATTAGGCCTCCCTGGTCACAATTATTGGGTGCATACTGGGTGCTGTTCATAGCACCAGGTGGGTATTAACACATTTTCTAATGAGGAAAGTATTATTATTACTGCCATTTTCAGATGAGGGACTGACTGAGGCCGAGAGAGTAAATAATTTGCCCAAAGTCACACAGCTGGTGAGGGCCAGAGGCAGGACTTGAACCCAGGCAGGCTGACTTTTTTAACCACTATTTCAAACTGCCTCTGGAAGCTCTTCTCAACTTCCCTGCAAATGCGGCTGACCGGCTATGGGCTGGGTAAATCTGGGAGCCTCCCCCTGCCCATCTGCCCCCAAGGAGGCTGGGAAGAAGCAAATGGGTTTGATAAAGCCACTTGGTTCTGGTTGGGAATGTTTTAAATGTACTTCTTTTTTAAAAGTCAGCACCATGTGACCTTTCTGTCACAGAAATGGCCCCAGAATCACTGGAGGACTTGCTGGCTCTAGGGACAGCCCGTGGCCAGGCAGCCTGATGCCCTGGCTGGACGAAAGGCTCAGGCCGGCAGCCTCCTGGCAGCCAGGGAAGCAGATGGGGACGGCCTAGGAAGAAGAGGGGGGCCAGGCGTTAGGACTCATCTTTATTTCAGAGTCGTCAGGGACCGCCAGTCTCCCAGCCTGGCATTAGCAGTGCAGCAGGAGCGGCACCTGCCTTCTCTTTGCTCCCACTGAAGTTAAAAGGTCTGCTGCCCACCACCACCTCCCCACCTCCCTCATCCAGGAGGATCTCACAGTGTGTACAAAGAAAGCCAAGCCCCAGCCAAACACCTGCTTCTTTACCAGGTGGCTGCCAGAATCTGCCCGGTGGCTAATTATCATGGGCAAACCAGACAAAGGGCTTCAGGAACTCAAAAAGGTGGCCAGGATCAATGGCAACAAGGAAGCCAAAAAGACATTGACCATAGAGGTGAGACGTTGCTCATCGTAACCCAGAATGTGGGACTTGACCCAGGAAACGATACATACTAATAACCTGGATTCTCACCAATCTCACCACTGCCCACACCAACACCACCAATACCACCACCACCATCACCATCAACATCTCTACAAAGCACCAGCATCAGCACCACCACCTTCACCCCCATCATTACATCATCGTCACCACTAGTACCACCTCCCGTACACCTACTGTCGCCTACCGTCACCTCCACTATCATCACCCCTACACAAATACCATCAGCAGCAGCACCACCAAATGATGCACCAGTAGCAACACCATCAGCATCAGCATTACAACCATCCATACCCCCACCACTACCATAACCATACTATCACCATCAACGCCATCGTCATTACCATCATCACCACCCCCACCAGCGCTCACCACAATCGTCTTCATCTTCACCACCACCTCCATCAACACTACTGTCACTATCACCAGCCTTGCCATCGTGTGGTGATAATAATCACCATATTACTCGATCACCATCACCACTCCATCATCATCACTTTCACTACCACCACCACCATCATTACCATCATCATCTTCACCAGCACCACCATCTTCATCTTCTTCATCACTACCTCCATCAACACCACCAATACCATCACCAACATCACCATCTGCATCTCTACAAAACACCATCAACACCACCCCCACCACTACCATCACCTTCACCACCATCATTACCTTCCAGCACTACCTCCACCATTCCATCACCACCACCACCACCAATAACCAAATATCATTATCAACACTGTCAGCACCCCGTCACCACTTCTCTGACTCAATATCTCGAGACACCCGCATATATTGCACACTCACCTCAAGGGGCTTCTCAATGTATGTGGGGGAACAGGACATGCTTATCTGAAGATAGTTATTTTGAGGAAGCAGGTGCTTGCGGTCAGAAAGCACAGAGCTCCCTGGGGGCAGGAGGACAGGGGAAGGCTTCCAGGAGGGGGAAAGCTAGAGCAATCAGGACTGAGCTGAGCCCAGTGTGAGCAGGGCCCAGAGGCAGAGGACGGTGCTCCAGTGGGCTCAGGAGGGGGCTGAACAGGCAATTGGGTAGCAGAGAAGAGCTGGCTGGGATGGAGTGGGCGCGCCCTGCAGCCAGCCATGGAAATGAGGAGGATGTGGGGCTCTGTGTGGTACCTGTCAAGGGCATCCCTGCAGCGTGCAGCGAAGAGGGCCGGAGCTGGGACACAAGACCCCTGCTAGGTTCAGGGTTAGTGGGCCAGGTCTGCAGAGGAGAGAGCTCAGCCAGAGGCCCAAGATCAACCTTCCTACCCCACCCCCACCTAGGACTCCTGTCTGCAGAGGCCCAGGCCCAGGACAGCCTCCCCCATCACTCTGCTGGCCTGGACACCAGTTCCCTGGCATGAGGGGAGGGAGTGAGGTGGTCACCCCACACTCACTGGGCTCCTCCCCTAGGTGCTGATGTCCAGCATGCAGGAGGAGCTGGCCTCTACCAAGACCCGCCAGTCATGGCTGGACCTGTTCCACATGCCCAAGCTCCGCTGGAGACTCCTTGGGCTGCTCGTGGTGATGTAAGCCATCTGAGGTTGTCCCTCCCGGGGAGATGGCTGGGGACAGGTCGAGGGGTCTCGGAGGGAAACAGCATCTGCTGGACCCCCAGGGGACATTTCTGGCTGGGACAGTAAAGACCCTAAGAGGCGGGAACGCAGGAGGCAGGGGTGAGGGATGTGTGCACGTGTGGCCAGAGGGTGGCTTTTACAGGAAGCCAGCTAGAGAGGCAGGAATAGGATAGTGACCCTGGGCAGTGTCACTCATAGAGGGACGACCACATGCTAGGCATTCTCACTCTTCACAGCAACCCCATGAGATAAGGACACTCATAGTGCCCGTTTTACGGATGGGGAAACAGAGGCCCAGAGAGGTTAAATTGATGATGGAGCAGGCATTTGGACCCAGGCAGTGCGGCAGAGACTGTGCTCTCAGCCACTTGGTGGAGCCATCTACCAGCTGGGCACTGTCACTGGCCAGCCCCTACGCTGAGCCACGGCTTCTTCACCCTACCCCTAGGAGGTGAATACAGAGGGCATTGCCTTGGCCCCAAGGTTGCCTGGGACCAGGAAAAGGCCCCTTAAAATAAATCCAGTCCAACCTCCATTGCCACGAGACCAGAACAGGATGGTGCCCGGCTACCATTACTGAATGTTTTGATCAAAGACCTAATAGATGGATCCTGATCAAAGGGAGGAAAACTGTAGAACAGAATTTCAAATTCTTATAGAAACTAGACTACCTGGACCCGTTGTGTCTAGGGGATCCCCCAAATCTACTGCCCTGAGATAATCTTTAAGCCTTGAACTGCAACTATCCCATGAAGTCATCTTTAAATTAAACAACAGTTTAGCTCAACTAGTAAAGAATGTTCGTCTTGAGTGGTGTGCTCTTTTAAAGAATTATTTATATAAGATTAAACTGACAACAGCAACTCTAAAACACGGAGAAGTTTAGGGGCAGAGAGTTTAAGTTAATGCTGGTCAAACAGCACACACACAGAAAATCAGTTCAAGTGACACCCAAAAGAGCATATTAAAAGGTGAGGCTCAGATTTGATTGAGACTTCATCTTGAAATAAAACTAAAAGATTAGGAAACCATTTACTTTTTGTTCTATTTAACCACATATGGGTTATAATGGCAAAATTTTGCTGAATCTTGGAACAATGAATGGATCAAATTTTTTTTTTGGCTTAAATTTTTTCGGATAAATTTGGTGGCGTGCCAGGCTTCCTCTGTCTCCCAGGGGCCAAGCGGCAGGCTTTGTTATTCAAATCACAGCCTTTGAAGCGGCTAACCTTGTTGGTTTTCTTTTCTTTGGCTGTTAACCCAGATCCTCGATAGGCAGAGGCTTTGAGCACAAGCCAAACCGCTCTCCTACATCACTTTCATTAACTTCATGAAACACTGAGGTTTCTGCACGAATTGCGGTTTTACTTTGCAGTTGCTTGGCCCTGGGATGTCAGATGTTTGCTGGGGATGCAATTAGTGAGAGACAGTCCAACTAAGATGATGACACTGAAGGGAAGGGCTAGGCTGGGTGCCTAGTTAAGCAGAATCACCTGTTAGAGTGGGGATGGGCTTTTTTTTTTTTTTTTTTTTAATAATTTATTTTATTTTACCTTGTTATTGTTGAGAATAAACACAGCAGAACATATACCAATTCAACAATTTCTACATGAACAATTCAATGACTGGTTACATTCTTCAAGTTGTACAATCATTCTCACTCTCCTTTCAGAGTTGTTCCTACCCCACTAACATAAATTCACTGCCCCCTAAGGTTCCTATCTAATCCTTCTAGTTGTTGTTGTCAATTTGATCCCATATTGTTGTTGTTAGGTGCCTTCTGGTCGGTTCCGATTTATAACAACCTTATGGACAACAGAATGAAACACTGCACGGTCCTGCGCCATCCTCACGATTGTTGTTATGCTTGAGCCCATTGTTGCAGCCACAGTCAATCCTTCTCGTTGATCCTCTGCTTTACCAAGCATGAAGCCCTTCTCCAGGGACTGATCCCTCCTGACAACAAGTCCAAAGTATGTGAGATATAGTCTCACCATCCTTGCTTCTAAGGAGTATTCTGGTTGTACTTCTCTCAAGACAGATTTGTTCGTTCTTTTGACAGTCCATGGTATATTCAATACTCTTCTCCAACACCACAATTCAAAGACGTCAATTCTTCTTCCATCTTCCTTATTCATTGTCCAGCTTTCGCATGCATATGAGGCGACTGAAAACATCATGGCTTGAGTCAGGAAGACCTTAGTCCTTAAAGTGATATCTTTGCTTTTCAACACTTTAAAGAGATCTCTTGCAGCAAATTTGCCCAATGCAATGCGTCATCTGATTTCTTGACTGGATCTTCCCTGGGTGTTGATTGTGGATCCAAGTAAATGAAATTCTTGACAACTTCAATCTTTTCTCGGTTTATCGTGCTGTTGCTTATTGGTTCAGTTGTGAGGATTTTTGTTTTCTTCATGTTGAGGTGTAATCCATACTGAAGCCTGTAGTCTTTGATCTTCATCAGTAAGTGCTTCAAATTTTCTTCATTTTCACAAGCAAGATTGTGTCATCTGCATACCACAGGTCGTTAGTGAGTCTTCCTGCAATTCTGATGCTGCATTCTTCTTCATATAATCCAGCTTCTCGGATTATTTGCTCAGCATACAGACTGAACGCATATGGTGAAAGGATATAATCCTGACGCACACCTTTCCTAACCTTAAACCACGCAGCATACCCTTGATCTGTGCCAATGACTGCTTCTTGATCTATGTACAGGTTCCTCATGAGCACAATTAAGTGTTCTGGAATTCCCATTCTTCTCAATGTTATCCACAATTTGTTAGGATCCACACAGTCGAATGCCTTTGCATAGTCAATAAAACACAGGTAAACATCTTTCTGGTATTCTCTGCTTTCAGCCAGGATCCATCTGACATCAGCAACGATATCCCTTGTTCCACATCCTCTTCTGAATCTGGCTTGAATTTCTGGCAGTTCCCTGTTGATGTACTGCTGCAACTGCTTTTGAATGATCTTCAGCAAAATTTTACTTGTGTGTGATATTAATGATATTGTTCAATAATTTCCGCATTCAGTTGGATCACCTTTCTTGGGAATAGGCATAAACATGGATCTCTTCCAGTTGGTTGGCCAGGCAGTTGTCTTCCAAATTTCTTGGCATAGATGAGTGAGCACTTCCAGCGCTGCATCTGTTTGTTGAAACATCTCAATTGGGATTCCATCAATTCCTGATGTCTTGTTTTTCACCAATGTCTTCAGTGCAGCTTGGACTTCTTCCTTCATTACCATTGGTTCTTGATCATATGCTACCTCCTGAAACGGTTGAACATCGACCAATTCTTTTTTGGTACAGTGACTCTGTGTAGTCCTTCCATCTTCTTTTGATGCTTCCTGCGTCGTTCAGTATTTTCCCCACAGAAGCCTTCACTACTGCAACTCAAGGCTTGAATTTTTTCTTCAGTTCTTTCAGCTTGAGAAATGCCGCGAGTGTTCTTCCCTTTTGGTTTTCTAGCTCCAGGTCTTTGCACATGTCATTATAATACTTTACTTTGTCTTCCCAAGCAGACCTTTGAAATTTTCTGTTTAGCTTTTTTACTTCATCATTTCTTCCTTTCGCTTTAGCCACTGGACGTTCAAGAGCAAGTCTCAGAGTCTCCTCTGACATGCATTTTGGTTTTTTCTTTCTTTCTTGTCTTTTTAATGACCTCTTGCTTTCTTCATGTATGATGCTTTCTTCATGTATATCATTCCCCAGTTTATCTGGTCTTTGGTCATTTGTGTTTAATCCCATACAGATAGTTCTTACAAGAGTGCAATACTCAAGGCAGGCATTCTTTACTAATTAAGCTAAACTACTGTTTGGTTTAAAGAAGACTTCAGAGGACATTTTTGGTTTAAGTTTTAAAGATTACCTCAGGACAATAGTTTCGCAGGTTCATCCAGCCTTAACAGATCCAGAAAGTCTGGATTCCATGAGAATTTGAAATTCTCTTCCGCATTTTCCCCTTTTGATCAGAATTCTTCTACAGACTCTTTGAGGGAATGGACTTTTAAAGTGGTCAAGAATAATTACGAGTTGTGGCCACTTGTGAATCCAAGTTCAACCTCCAATCTGCAGCAATTCACACACTGTAAGTTCAGCCACTCAGAAGGGTGTGGCAGGTGGGGTCCTCCAGGAAGTGGACTCTAAGGTGGAGATTAGGGGGCAGACAGTTTATTGGGGAGAGTTCTCAGGACCTGCTCTGGTGAAAGGAATCAGATGGAGCAGGGGAGAAGTCGGCCACAAACCAGGATGCTGTCATAGCAAAGCCCAGCCACCCCTCGGGAACTTGTGAGCTGGGATGGCCCTTCTGAGTTGTCCCCCTGGCCCGTGTGGATGGCCTGTGTCACCCTGGGAAAGACTGTGCTCTTCCTAGCTGAGGGCCAGCACCCCTAGAGGCTGGGGGAATCAGACTTTCCATCTGAAGGGTGATCTAGGCAGTGCAGCCCAGCCCCATGCAGAGATCCGATCCTAGGACTGTTCCCATTTTCCAAGATGAAGAAGCAGGCATCTAGAGAGGATCAGAGCCTTGCCCAGGTTCATGGCTAACAGAGCAGAGGCCTGGCCATGGTTCTGGGCCAGGGCTGGGTGTGGCAGTCAGAGCTGAAGGGGCAGCTCCTGTTGACCTGCGGAGGTCCCTGAGAGCAGGCTGGGTGCTGAGCCCGAGACTCATGTCTTCTGGCTGGTCAGCCAGCTTCAGCCCTGCCCGGAAGCCCATGAACAAAATGGACTTCCTGCCCTTTCCTGGAATCAGCCTGGCCCTGGGGAGACGCATCCTGCATTCAACAGGTTTCTCAGGGCTCTGGCTGTGACAAGCTCAGGGTGGCCAACCTCCCAGGCTGGTCTATGCTCTGCCAGGACTGCCCCTGTGTGGGGTGATGCTGTGCAGCTGGACCAACTTCCTAACTCTGTCCTGCAGATTCTCTGTAACGTTCTCCTACTATGGGCTGGTCCTGGACCTGCAGAACCTGGGCAGTGACATCTTCCTCCTCCAAGTCCTCTTTGGAGCCATAGACTTCCTGGGCCGGGCCACCACCCCCTTCTTGCTCAAGTTCTTCGGCCGCCGCTTCACCATAGCCAGCTCCCAGTCCACTGCTGGCTTCTTCATCCTGGCCAATGTGCTGGTGCCACAAGGTGAGGTCAGGGCAGTGCAGAGAGGGCAGGCCAGGTGGGCGGCAGCCAGGGACACTGGCTTCCCTCCCCACCCCTGTTGTCTGCACACCCGTGCCCCCTCCCCCTGCTGACCCCACGCATGTGCAGTTTTGCAGCCACGCCCTCTGAGCATCTTTCTGCCCACATGTCAAATCCTGTCATGAACTTTGCTGCGTTATCTCAGGAGTCTCCTCCCCAAGCAGCCCCTGGCCCATTTCCCTGGTGAGAAAATCGAGGCCCAGAGAAGTGAAGCAAGGTGGTCAAGTTACTTAGCTAACACGTGACAGGGCCAGGGCTCACTGCATTAAAAGCCAAAGGAGGGAGCCTGCGGGGGAGGAAGGACCAGGAAGATGGGGGGTGGGGGGCAGCAAAGGCGCCAAGCAGGGAGAGAGTGTTTTTTCACCCTTATCAAAGAAGTGCGGCACCTGTGAGCCAAGTGAGCAGAGCAGAGGGCCGGGAGGCTGCCGCCGGCCACTGGTTCCTCTTGTCTTCTGCGCAGCGGTGGTGCCGGAAGAGCCTCCCCGTGGTTCCTCTCAGTGCCCCATGTCGGAGCCTGGGGGTGGTGCCGGGAGCCAGGAGGAGGGCAGAGGATGCCTAGCGACTGCCTGCCACCAAGAGGACGGAGGGTGGCAGTGTGAACTGCAAACTCTCAGAGAACATTTCCAGAACGTTCCTGTGGGAGCCACACTTGACAGTTTATAAGACTCTTTATAACCAAGAGGGGGATGGGGGAGCTGAGGCCCAGGCCTGTGACGAAACTTCGGTTTCCTGGCTAGGCCTCCTTCCAGCCACCCAGGGTCCCCCATGAAAGCCAGGGTGCCCCAGGCAGGCGGAGGGAACAGTGGGAAGGCTTCAAGACACCTGGTCTCCCCAAGGCCTCTGCTGTGGCCTGGGCAGGGCCTGGCCCCTCCTCTCCTAGGCCGTTGGGAGCAGACCAGGATTGTGGCCCTCAGCTGCCCCATGCCCACCTATCCCAGAGCTGGCCTCGCTCCTCCTGCTCGGCTCCTCCTCAAGCCACCAACTGTGATTTCTAATTCCTCACTGTGGCCCTGCCAGGGATAAGGGTCAGCCCAAGGAAGCTTTGTAGGGGAACCCCACCCTCACCCCCCCCCCCGGCTCCTCTCCGGTGGACCCCATGCTCACCCTCTCCTTGCCCAGATTTTCAGACCCTGCGCGTGGTCTTTGCCGTGCTGGGAAAGGGATGCTTTGGGGTAACCTTAACCTGCCTCGCTGTCTACAGGACTGAACTCTTCCCAACTTCACTGCGGTAGGCTGGGGCTGCAGGCCATGCTGGGGAGGGTCTGCCAGGCCTCAAGATGGGGCAAGAAAGGGAGGGCCAGAGGGGAGGGAAAGGAGGGCCATGTGTCCAGGGGGACACAGCAGAGGATGAGGGGACCCAGCTGCCTACATGGAGCTGGACAGACCAACCCCACCTTCCTTCCCCCAAAGGCCCTAGAGTTCCCTGTGAAGGATTCTGGATGTTCCCAGGAAGAAGACCCTCTCTCTAGATGGGAAAATCTGTGGGGCTCCATGGAGGAAGTGGCTTTAGGGGAGGCTCTGAGCTTAATTATCCCCCCCTGGTATCCCCTGGCCCATCCAAACTGCCCCTCCTCTGGTAAAATTCCTAACAGTGGCAGCCATCACATGGGCTTGGGCTCTCCCCTTCACCCACAGGATGACAGCAGATGGCCTCCTGCAGTCGGCAGGCCGACTGGGGGCTGTGATGGGCCCTTTGATCAGGATGACCCGCCAGGCCCTGCCCCTGCTGCCCCCCCTCTCCTATGGTATCATCCCCATCGCTTCCAGCCTCCTCCTCCTGCTCCTCCCAGAGACCCAAGGACTTCCACTCCCAGACACCGTGCAGAACCTGGAGAGCCAGTGAGTGATCTGCAGCTGCCCTGAGAGTGGGGCTGGGCTTCCTTTTGGGCCATGATGTAGATGGACTGGGGTTACAAATGTGGGGGCAGGCTCACCCATGGCCCTGGTATAGAAGACCCAAGGGGTCAGGGGAACAGCCTGAGTGGAGGAGGCAGGAACTGGGCTGAGCTTGTCATACTGATGACACTAGATAGCAATTAGAGTTTGTTGAGCACTCACAATGTTCCATCAGCACAGAGAGCATCACAGCTTGTTTCTGAAGCCATTTAATGTTCATAACAACCCAGTCAGGAAGGTGCGATCCTCATTTACAGGCAGAAAAACTGAGGCTCAGAGAAGTGAAGTAACTTACCAAAAGTGATTGTACCTTAGGCAGGAAAATGTAATAGTTAAGAGCACAGGTTCTGTAGCCAGATTGCCTAGGACTAAATTCCCTAGCTACTTAGATGACTTAACCCCTCTCACCAAAACTGACACAAGAGGATATAGACAGCCTCAACAGTCCTAGTTAAATCTGCTCACAAAGAATTCCAGACCCAGACAGATTAGCAGGTGAGTTCTTTCAAACCCTCAATAAACAGATTGTTCTACTCTCACATACATTTCTTTGAGAGAATAAAAATGAGAGAACACTTTCCAACTCCATTCTATGAAGCCAGGGTAAATTCCCTAGGCTTTAGCTTCCTCCTCTGTAAAAAAAGGTACGAAAAATATATAGGTATACTTTGGACATGTTACCAGGAGGGATAAGTCCCTGGAGAAGGACATCATGCTTGGTAAAGTAGAAGGTCAGTGAAAAAGAGGAAGACCCTCAATGAGCTGGATTGACACAGTGGCTACAACAATGGGCTGAAGCATGACAATGATTATGAGGATGGTGAAGGAATGGGCAGTGTTTCATTCTGTTGCACACAGACAGGGTCGCTATGAGTTGGAACCAACTCGAGGGCACCTAACAACAAGTATAAACCAGCCACTGTTCTATGCTCTTGGGACACTGCAGTAAATAAAACCCTGATCTCACAGAGTTTACATTCCTAGAAGACTTGACCCCAGGTCTACTCTCCTAAAACCCCAAGCCTGTAACCATTTCACCATGCATTGCTGCTTTCTTCTGATTCTTCTAGAAAAAGATCAGCACCAGCGGGGGGTGACCAACGAGAGGTGGTCAATACAGAAAGCACCTGGTTCTAGAAATGCTGCCTGCGTGGAGTCGGTCTGGACAAAGACCCCTGGGAAAGGAGTTGCTGAAGGTGGAGACGAGTGGGACGAGCTGGAAGGTTCGATGTGGTTGAGTGGGCAGCAAGGTGTACTGCTGCGTCTGAAGGATGCTCTTGCCACGCTCTCCCGCTTTCACCACCCCCCATCTCACCACACCCCCTCTTGCCACACCCCCCTCACCGCGCCCCCTCTCTCACGCCCACTTGCTCTCATCACCCCCTCCTGTCCTTGCCACTGGTGAAGTTGGCTCTGCACAGCCAGGTGCCCTGGTTAGATTCTCCTGGCTGCCCACGGGGCCCCTTCATTAGCAAGACGGGTCCTCTCCCGTCCCCTGCCAGGCTCGCGATTTCACTTGGCCACCTCCTGACTCCCTTCATATGACCTGGCGTTGCAGGATTCTCTCCTCTGGGCTTCCAGAGTGGATTGTCAGACAGACAAGGGCAGGGTATCGATGGGGTTCCAGTCTCCCCCCACCACTCACAGAGTCCTCATCTGTAAAATGGGAGTGACCACGGAACCTGCTTTCCAGGGTGGATATGAGGATCAACTGATGTTAGCACAGGCCAGAGTCTGAGAATTAGAACCCAGCACAGGTAGGTGTTCAGGTTGTGTCCTCCCCATGGCACCCAGCCCAGGGGCACATGGAACTGAAACCACCCCAGGCTCCACTGGCCCAGTCACCCACCTAATGGAGGCTGCGTCCCTCTAAGAAAGGGGTACCCTTTTGTCATTTGCCTGTCTGGAGGGGCACCGTTTCCTGATTCACACAAAGACCCTCTGTGTGCTGGCAGCAGTCCAGGCTGTTAAAACCATATGATCACTGAGGCCAGCCACCTGTCCAGAGCCGAGGAAGCCACAGCGTGAGAGGTGGGGGGGCATGCCCAGAGTGACACAGCTGAGCCCTGGCCTGACTCCCAGGCAGGCCTCTTTCCAGCACACTGGGCTCCTGGCCGCTCATCTCATCCCCACCGTGGTTACTAGTCCCTGTAGCCTTGTCACAAAGTCACCCCCACACCCTTCTCTCCACACCTGAGTTCCCTGGAGATCCAGACTTTTTAGACACCTGCCCACTCAGCACTCCCCTTGGATGACCTGGGGACATCTCTAGCCCTGGGTTCCTCAGCCACATATCCCAAGTCCCCTCTCCCACACCTGATACACACCAGCCCATGAATTTTACACTTCTCAGTAGCTCCCAGATCCATCTACTTCTCCATCATCATGGCCACCTTCATATCTGGTTCCTGAGCTGGTCTCTGATGTCCATTGCTCTCCACACGGCAGTTTCGATGCTTGTTTGGAAACACAATTCAGATCAAATCTCCTCTCTGCTTAAAACCCTCTGGTGGCCCATGATAAAGACCACACTCCTTCCCCGGCCAGCAGGTCAGGCCCCTATGGGTCCCCAGCCTTACCTCCTACCACACACAGCCCCTCAACCTTCCCCAGCTATAGGGAAGTCCTTTCAGTTCTTCCAATGCACAGGGCTCCATCCTGCCTCAGGGCCTTTTCACATGCTGTTCCCACAGTGGACCATTTTCTCTCCTCACCTTCTAGGTTTCCATCAAGCATCACTTCCTCAGGAAAGCCTTCCCTGACCACCTCCCACCCCCAACCCCCAGTCCTCTTCAGCCTCTTCTATCAGACTACTTTTTTCAAGCCCTGGTCCTCTCCTTTGAGGCACTTGTATCAGCAAAGAATTGTACTCTTTTTTGCACTATTGCATTTATGTCTGTCTCCTGGGCTGGGAGCTTTAAGAAGGGAAAGCTCTCTTTTGCCTTCTCCCGCTGTGCCCCAGTGCCTGGCACAGGGCTTGGCATGTAATGGACACTCAATAATATGTGTGGCAGGAATGAATGTCAGTCACCATCCCATGCACCCTGCCCACACCCTGGCCTCCCGACAGGCCTGGGGACTATTTCTGAGCACTCTGTAGTTGGGGGGGTGGGGGCAGTGCAGAAAGAGGCAGCCCTGGCCAAGGGGCACCCAGCCGCCAACCCCAGGCCATGAAGTTGTGGTCATACAGGCTGGAGACCCCCAGATGACTCGACCATCTGCTCTAAGACCCCAGGCAAACCACTGTGCCAATCCTCCTGCAGACCTTGGGTTCAGAGCCAAGGCAGGGCTTGGGTCAGGGCAGGGGGAGAAGAGAGCCTGGCCTGGCAGGTGCAGCTCCTGGCGTGGTGGCACTGAGGTAGCCTGACAGCCACATCTATGTCAAGACACTAAAAAGCAAACATTCAACTTATAGATCTTTTATTAACATTTCAATTTTTACCAGTTAACACAGTACTTAGTTTGCACATAGTTCAAAAGTCAAGTAGTTATTGCAAAAGCTTTGTTTCCAAATCTAGCAGTGTCCCACAACTGCTTCCCTCCATTTTCCTTCCCTGGAGGCACCCACTTACCCTGCTTTGAGCTGATTACTTTTTGTCACCATTACCTCTCCAAATAACAGGCTTATATGGGCTCTTCTTGGGAGTCCTTGGGTGGCACAAACAGTTAAACATTGGGCTACTAATCAAAAGGGTGGTTCAAACCTACCTCGGAAGAAAGGTCTGGTGATCTGCCTTAGGCTGGGTTCTCTAGAGAAGCAAAACCAGTAAAGCATATAAATATATATATATAGAGAGATTTATATCAAGGAAATGGCTCATGTGATTGTAGAGGTTGTAATGTCTCTAGTCTGTGAGTCAGGATAGAGGCTTCTCCTGACTCACATAGCCACAGGGTCTGGTGAACCCAAGATCAGCAGGTCAGAGAGCAGGGTTCTTGCTCACAGGCTGCACAGATCAGTGAATTCCAAGATTTGCAGGCAAGATGGCAGGTAAGCTGCTAACTCAAGTCCCAAGAACTGGAGGTCAGATGAACAGGAGCCAGTTGCAGGATCCAGAGCTAGCAAAAGCCCACAGGTCTTGCCAGAAAGTCCTCTTACATATTTGATGCAAGCCACACCCCCAAGGAGACTCCCTTTCAACTGATTGGCTACTCACAGCAGATCCCATCATGGAGGTGATCGCATTATATCAAATCTCATCATGGAAGTGATCACATCATCATACAACTGCCAAACTACATCATAACGGCCAAACCACTGAGAATCGAGGCCCAGCCAAGTTGACATATAACCTTAACGATCACGTCTGCTTCCAAAAGGTCACAGCCTTGAAAACCCTATGGATTGCAGTTCTATTCTGCACACATGGGGTTGCCATGATTCAGAAGCGACTTGACAGCAACTGGTTTGGTTTAGTTATGGGTTCTTGATTTTTCACTTTCAGGCATTATCTGTTGACTTCCCACCATGAAAGAGGAAAATTTTATTCCCTTTTCTACCCCATACCTACCCCCCTACACAGATCCTTCCCATGCTCACATTTCCCTAGTATCGTTGCATCATAACTATAGTTAGATCCTTATTAAGTGTTTCATTAGTGTGTTATCGTGGGGTTTACATTAACTTTACCCAGAGAATTTAGTTTTTGTCCTCAGTTCCTGAGAGACAATCTTTTAACAAAAACAATGGAATTTAAGTGTCTTCAATAAGGACTCCAGATCACACCCAACTAACAGGTTGTGCCAGTGAGGTACTGAGGAGACTCTAGGGTGGAGGGTGGCCAGGTCAGAAAGACCCACTGCGTGATAGTTCATGATCACCGCATATTGACCGACCTCACGCGAGAGGGCTGGAGTTTGTATGAGATCCCCAGTAAAAGCTCTGGATGCTGAATTTCCATGGGCTTCCTCGTTGATGAAAGAAATAGATGCACATGGGAGGGTAGTGCATCCCTTTGAGACATGGAAGCCCCGTGTTGTGAATCCTCCCAGGCCTCATCTTATGTGTCTCTTCATTTGTATTCTTTTTTTGCTAGAATAAAACTGTAATCATAAGTATAGTACTTTCTGTGAGTTCTGTGAGTCACTCCAGTGAATTGTCGAATCCAAAGGAGTAGTGGGAGACAGCAGGTCAGAAGTGAGGAGGGGGTGAGAATCCCTGAGCTTATGGCTGGCATCCTGAGTGGGTAGAGGGAGGCCCCAACTTATAGCCAGCAGGTCAGAAGTGAGGAAGCCCAAGGGGACTTCAAGTTTATGGCTGGAATTCTGACAGGGTACCGGGAACACCCCAAATTTGTAACCAGCAGATCAGAAGTGAGGGTGCTGTATGGACTCCCAAGCTTGCAGCTGGGATCTAAAGTCTTGGGCCAACTTGGCAGTCTAGAGAACCGTGCCCTTTAACTTGTGAGCACTGACCTTACTCCACGTAGCTAGGGTCAGAGGAAGAAGTGCTGCACAGGCAGCTGGTGTCAGGACTGAATAGAAAAGTAAAAAGTGACTAATTGATTAAATTTTGTATTTGGATTTGATTGATCCTCTCAATTATGTAAATGCTACTCATAGCCAAGGAATATAGAACTGTGACACCTTTTCCTTTCTTATACAACTTTTCATTTTCCCCAGAGTTAACTATCACCTTCTTTTCCTTTTGCTTGGTTTCTTTATGCAGTAATTCAATGCTATTTACATTTAATGCTGTACATTTAAAAGAAGAAAACTCTCAGATCAACCTTACTTCTACCTTAAGAAACGAGAAAAAATAAAGGAGCAAATTAAGAAGAAAGGAAATAATAAAGAGCAGAAATCAGAGAAATATAAAAGCAATAGAGAAAAATCAATAAAACCAAAGACTGGTTCTTTGAGAAGATCAATAAAAACTATAAACCTCTAGCTAGACTGACTAGGAAAAAGAGAGAAAAGGCATACATTACCAATATCAGAAACGAGAGTGGAAGCATCACTACAAATCCTACAGACATTAAAATCATACTAAGAGAATTATGAGCAACATTTTACCAAAAATTTGACAACTTAGATGAAATGGACAAATTTCTTTAAAGACACAACTACCAAAGCTTACTCAAAAAGAAAGAGATAAATAGCCCTGTATCCATTAAACAAATTAAGTTTGTGGTTTA